AGGAGCAGGTTGCACGCCGCAACAGAACTGAATGTGAATATATTGTGAGAGCGGGTTGCACGCCGCAACAGAATCGAACGTGAATATATTCTGAGAGCGGGTTGCACGCTGCAACAGAATTGAATGTGAATATATTGTGAGAGCGNGTTGTACTGATACTACATTCTGCACTTCTTGTGCAGATTTTGGAGTTGGTCCCAGCGGCGTGCCATAGACTTGCTCGGATTACAGCTACCAGAGGAGACTTGAGGTATAACTGCATGGCGTCCGCAGTTCTGAAGTCCCTGTATACTTTACTTTAGCTGTGTGTTTGTTTCCAGACAGCTTTATTTTATTCAGACCTTTATTTGTATTTATTCTAGAAGCTCGTGCACTTGTGACACCAATTCTGGGATGGTATTTAGACACCGTTATTTTTATGAACTATTCACTATATTTCAAACTTTGCTTCCGTATTTGTTTCTTGATTATTAATAATTTAAAGATTGTTTAAAAATTGGTTAATATTATTCTAACGTTGGCTTGCCTAGCAAGTGAAATGTTAGGTGCCATCACGGTCCGAAGGTGAGAATTTCGGGTCGTGACAAGTGATTTCTTCTTCGCGAAGGCGGTCAGTGCCTCGTGTTCACGAAGCACAAAATTGTGCTGCCAAACATTGCCCTTCGCGAACGCGAAGGCAACCTCGCAAACACGATGCCTTGCCTGGCTTGGCCTTCGCGAACGTGAACTGCCCTTCGCGAACGTGAGCTGCCCTTCGCGAACGCGAAGACAAAAATCCTCTCCGGTCATTTCCCCTCCGCGAACGCGGGGCTTCGGTTGCGAACGCGAAGCTTTGCACCTCGACCCTTCTCGAAAGCGTGCCCTCGGTCGCGAACACGAAGCATAAAATGTGCCAGTCCAAATTTCCTCTTTGCGAACGTGAGACTCCCCTCGCGAATGCGAAGAAGGAAACCACAACAGGTATCAGAAAATTTCCAGCAGCATTCCAAGTCCGAAATTGATCCGTTAACCTTCCAAAACTGACCCGAGGCCCTCGGGACCTCAATCAAATACACCAACAAGTCCTAAAACATCATACGGACTTAGTCGAAACCTCAAATCACATTAAATAATGCTAAAAGTATAAATCACACCCCAATTCAAGCTTAATGAAACTTAAGAATTTCCAACTTCTACATTCGATGCTGGAACCTATCAAATCAAGTCCGATTGACCTCAAATTTTGCACACAAGTCATAAATGACATAACGGAGCATGAAAATTTTCGGAACTGGATTCTGACCCCGATATCAAAAAGTAAACTCCCCGGTCAAACTTCCAAACTTAAATTCATATTTTAGCCATTTCAAGCCTAATTTAACTACGGACTTCCAAATAAAATTTCGGACACGCTCCTAAATCCAAAATCACCATATGTAGATGTTGGAATCATCAAAATTCTATTCCGGGGTCGTTTTCTCAAAATGTTGACCGAAGTCAAACATGGCATTTTAAGGCCAACTTAAGGAACCAAGTATTCTGATTTCAACCCGAACACTTTTAAATCCCGAACTAACCATCCCCGCAAGTCATAAATTTATAAAAGCACATACGGGGAGTTTTATTTAGGGGAACGGGGTTCTAAAAATAAAAATGACCGGTTGGATCATTATATTATGAGTAGCAAACTACAATGTATTGAATATGTTTCCTTTCGTGTGATTTAAATTTATATTTTTGAATGTTTAATCTTCTATACTTTATTCTTGAGTCCCAGCTTGCTTAATATCTCTTCACTCGTGTGATTTATATTTTTTTTTTGTCTTTGCTTAGTTTCTTTTACGCTTGGTGGATCTATAATCTCACTATTTTTCATATTTTTTTTAATTCATCACCCAATGTCTAGAAAGTTTTGCTAAGTCCGATAAAAATACGTATGTTATTGCATTCTACTTTTACTAGTGACTTTTAAATGACATTTAAAAAAATACCGAATATTAACTGAACCGTACTGATACCGACATGATTGGTACGATTTCTAAAAGTTCAATTTTGATTATACATAATAAAATAACCGAAAAATTAGTATGATACAAATTTTATAAAATAATCGGCCGAACCGAACTATTGAAATCCGTATCGGAGGGAGCATGTAACTTGTCTGCTAATCTCACAGCACTTGAAAAGCTACCTTTTGATAGGTACAAATTGCATTCAATTCCTCGATAGTATTGTTTTTTTTAGACATGTATACTATGAGAAAGAAGAAAGATTTAACAAAGTGTAATTTTATTATAATATTTATATAACCAGGAAACGTGAATGGATTTGCTAAATATGTAGAACAGCCATTCGGCAAATGATTCAGTGCCAAAAATAGAAATTTGAATGTATATTATGACTAGAATATCACCACTTGCATATCCATATAATTATTCAAACTCCATTTCATTGTCACAACTAATTTAAGTGTTGGCAATAACTTCAAAATGCATTATACACACATGAAAGTAGGTGGAAAATTATCACAAAAAATAAATAGACTTGTCCCCATCCTGGAATTTTTAATCAAACTTGGCGTTTATAAAAAATATACGTTTAAAAATAGACAAATCGCTAAGAGCCAAATAGACAGGTTAAGTGTAAGAGTTTGTTAAATTATACAACCAAATGTTTTATCCAAGACTATGAATATGATATCTTTAATATTTTAAGCATCTCCTTAATTTTTACCTTCCAAAAATAGGTGCTTTGAATATTTTATTATTTTATTTTGCTACACGTAAAACAAAAGAAGTTTCCTCTAAGAAAACAGTCATGATTTTTGTAAGCATTTTATTGGTGTATCAATATCATTTATACTAAATAATAGAAAAGATAATGATTGGCATATGGCATATAAAATAACAATGGAATTTTATAACACATTGCTGTTTAATTTTATAGCAGTATTCTGTCGTGTGTTCTCTTTGAAATGTGAATGAGACGAATAAGTTAGGAAAAATTAATTAGTCCATTACATATACTTTTTCCTTTTCTCCCTTCAATAAATAATTGGTTTTGTTTGTGATGCACCATATACTATTTTTAAACTTAGGAAATTTACCGTCCAAATTTTATATGATTTTTTTTAAAAAAAATATTACGTTCATATTTCGAAAAAGTTGCACTCAGTAAGAAGCACGAGCCTTAAGGTACCAATACCAACAAACATATTTAAAACGTAAAGGGAAATGTGCGAACCAGCAAATTAGTGGCAAAATATGCAATTTACTCTTAACTTTGGTTGAGTTTATTTTTTCTTTTTTTGGGGGGGTTTATTCTTGGATATTCGAAACCCCCTAATCCGAATAACTGGAAGGTGCGTTAGCTTAAGCTTACAATGAGAGTAAAGCACTCTTATCAAAAAGTTATTTATTTTTAAATTTGAATTCAAAATCTCTAATTAAAAGTACCAAAAGCATAGAAAAGAAACGGAAAAAAAAATAGGTTGATGTACTGATAATCGAAAATTAGTCATAGTTTCAAAAGTAATTAAAATTTAGCTACTTTTTCATGTAAAAATAAAATCTGAACAAAAATACCCTTAAAAATGTGAAAAAGTTTAAGTATAATATGTTGGATTTCGAATTTTTTCATATGACTTCCAGAATAATATATTAGAATTTCATAATGTGATGGAGTTCGAACATAATATGTTGGAAGTTTATACGCAAAAACTTCATAATCCAGCATATTATATTGAAATTTTTCGTATTTCAACTAGGATATTTTCGTTTAGATTTTATCTCTATATAAAATAGTGACTATTTTTCACTTGATTTCGACAAAGAAACAGAGGGAACACAAAGGGTGAAGGCAGGGGTGGTGGGGGTGCTAGTTGGCAAAAACGCGTTGATATAAAGAGAGACATTATTGTTAAGGAAAAAAGGGCAAAAGGAACGCGGTTGTGAATCAAAAAGTCAGCCTTCACATGTGTCTTTAGTCAATGTGATTTATACTTGCACATATTTTTATCTCATCGCCCACCCTCTACTGTTCCCATATTTTTATTATCATATCCTAGTTTATATATCATCATTCAAAAATACATAACTACACGTTTCTTTTTCTGTGAAAATATTACAGTCATGACAGGAGGAAGAGAAATCCTACACAAGATGAAGGTCAGCTGTCTTAATACTTTGTTCCTTGTTTTGTTTGCTTAACCTATGTTTTAGATGCGTAACTGTATTGTTTCATTTGTATGTATTTATTTGACTGGAAAAGACCCCCTTTTTTGTTAGTTTAATGTTTTAGGTTCATGGGAAATTGAGCTCTTGTTGAATTTTATAAGAATCAAAATCAGTGTGGAAGAATTGATTATTTTGACATAGTGATAGATTATACTCGTGGCGAATCAGAATTTTCAAAAAAATAAAAAATAAATAAACACACAAAGAAGTTAAAAGGGATTCAACACCTAATATATATATATACGTGAAAAAGAATTAACCTTATATACACTGTGTAATTTTCGGCGACCCCCTTCCGCCCACCTAACTCCACCCCTGATTATAGAACAAATCAGTACAGAAAGCTCTAGTGTCTACAATCACAAGAATAGAAATAACCTACTATTTGTGTGGTTAAACATTAACTTTAGGGAAGGAAGTTGTATAGTGAAAGGTGTCCTGAAGATATTCAGGGAAATGGATGATGAGCTGTGTAAAAGTTTGGCTAAAGCAAAGGTTGAATCTTCATTAGATCAGAGACAGTGAGGACTTGGACTTCATGTTGCAATTAATACTTATATGATTGAAGTAGTTTAGGAATCCGGTGATTGGAGAACTAGAGAATTCACGGGTTACGATAACTTCATGGTTTAGAGAAGAATTTAAGTTATATACACCGTCAGTGTAAGGAATTTTTACACCATCAAATCGATTTTACCTGTTTATAGCAAGTAACTTGTCTTATTTTCAAGATTACAAATTCCACATTTTAAGGAGGCACACATGTAGATATGTAAAAAATTCTTTAGAGAACACGTGCAGTAGAAAATATGGGTAAGCATGACTGGATTAGCTGTGCTCAAGCAGCCCAACATGCTACCTCATATGCATTCACTTAAGTGTAGCTGAAATTTGACAAGGAGTGAAGGAGTTGCGTACTAAGTTATCGGACAGTGATGTGATCAAGTGGTGTAGGCTGTACTACAACCAGCAATGGAGTTTTGAATGTTAGCTTTAAGTGAAAAGCGCAGAGTATGTAAAACCATTTGCCCATTCTATGATTCACAGTGAGGTGAATTGTGAACACCTCTGTTGATTGATTGTGTTCTTCGAACCTTCTTTGTCATTGTAATTTTTTAAACTGAAATATACTGAAAGTGAGGGGACATGATTAATATCTGATTGAAAGCTTAGCATAGAATTGGAAAGAAGAGGGACTTCAATTTTTCTACAGAGAGGCTATAGAGCTCTTTCCCTATGTTGTTTGTTTATGTGTGAGCAGGTATTCTAAGTGTACCCTCATCTGAGCTTAGTGCTAATGGGCCAAGGTAGTTCCAGACTTCCAGCTCAAATTTAGAGAAGTTTTAGTGCATTTTTCTCCTATTTTGGTCTCATGAGTTCCATTCCTTTCCTTTGCTGCTTGGACAAAGTAAAGCGTCTTAACTTTTTTTTTATTGAAATGGTAAAGCCCCATGGTAAAGCGCCTTAACTTTGTCTTTGGCTGTTCAAAGTGCGAGTTCAGCTGCTATTTGCAGATTGTGTTCTGCAATCTTCCTAATAACCAAATATATGATAAAGCTGTCATTGAACTTGTATGCTGTCATAGAATAGTGTAGTTTGTTGTTTTCGTTACGAAGATGTCTGCAGATAGGGTGTATCTAGGGCATTAAGATGTTCTAATGCTACCCAAATTATAGATTTTTCATGATGGCCTTTGTGTGTACTTGCATTCAAATCGTTTTCTGCTAGCTGCATTCTAGTTTGTGACCTACTATCTCGATCTTTCAATTTGGCAAATCCTTATGTTGAAATTCTGTGGGGTCCTGTTGCTATCATTATGAAGCTAGGAATTGAATTTATATCCTTGCCACGAGTATTTGATAGAGAAATCATCTTCTAATTGTGCATTACACAGCAATCACTTTCTTGATCAGGACAACGATCATTAATGCTTGCACCGATTAAAGAAAAACGATTATTAATGCTTTCTGTTTTATGTTTTTGTTTTTTACTACTATTTCTGAATTTCCTATTATTCTTTTCTTTAATGAGATTAATAAGATGAATGACAACTGTCCTTATAAAAAAAAAAGATGAATGACAACTGAATAACCAATTCCTACACCTTAGGAGAAGATTGACTTCCAGACTACTGCCTATAACTGGAAACGCGATATCAAGCATGGATTTGATTGTAACTGGAATGTTCTCTAATTTCAATATCTTTCTTTAACTGCCTTAATAGATAGCTATCGAGTCGATATCATTGGACATAATTTTGTAGCTTGTACAAATATCAAGATTTCTAACAACTACTCTAGGCAGGTGAAGCAGTGAAGTTTTAGTTGAATTAGATTTTATTCTACTTCTTTCAAATCATAGTTACTCATGAAAAATTTGGGACTGCTGTTTGCAAAATCACTGCATGCTACAATTCTTACTAAAAGTTTCCACATTGCTTTTGCACTTCTCTAAATTCTTGCATTGAACAGTTGCAGTGGCGAAGCCAGGAAATTCAATAAGGGTGTTCAAAGTCTATTTTTAATCAATAACAAGTAATATTTTACCTTATACGTAGTATAATTTTTCGGCGATGGGCCAACATAGCTTCGCCCCTGAACAGTTGTTGCTATTTTTCTGAGAATTATTTAAAAATTGGGAAAATACAGTTCCTTCAAAAGTAAAGGATAGAAATGAAGTAAGCTAGAAGGGTTTCCTGTGGAATTTCCTCTCAAATTCCTTATCAATGCTTTCTACTGTATGCCATCTTGCTTTTTTGATGAGGTACTGCTTTCTGCAATTTCTTAGATGACTTTGTTTTGGTTGTTTGGCCTTCATAGTTTGTCTTTATTCCTTCGAATCCGATAAACTTTCAGACCTCTCATGCAGAAACTTAATTGGCCTAATGGTCAAGGAACCATTGTTCTCATGCTAACGTATTTAATACATGTCTTGCTCAGGAAAGAGCATGTTTTATCCCTTCCATGCCAGACTCACCAGATACAAGAGGCAAGGGCGGAGCATCAAAGCGGATCGCTTATGGCTCCCACTTGGTAAAGGGAAAGTCTAATCATGCCATGGAAGATTGTTTAGTTTGTGAGTTTAAGCAAGTCAATAACAATGAGTTGGGACTATTTGCTATCTTTGATGGACATATGGGCCATGATGTGGCAAACTACTTGCAGACACACTTGTTTGGCAACATCTTGAAAGAGGTAATGCATAATTTACAAGAAGAGCTTGCATTGGAATGACTATTCTAAATCTCTTTAGTTGCTTTCCTGCAAAGTCCTCTTTGGTCCTTGCTATTTCTGCTCTCATATTCTTCCGTGTTACTCCCGTTGTTCTTAATCAATCATTTTCTCATGCATCATCTGTCTTTGGGAGCAGCATGACTTTTGGACTGATGCCGAGAGTGCAACTCGTAGAGCTTACCAAACAACAGACAAAGATATTCTGGAAAAAGCATTCCAATTGGGAAAAGGAGGTTCAACTGCAGTTACTGCAATGCTGATTAATGGTCAAACGCTTGTAGTTGCAAATGTGGGAGATTCTCGAGCAGTTATATCCAAGAAGAGTGTTGCCAAGCAGCTATCAGTTGATCATGAGCCGAACAGGGAAAAGGATATAATTGAAAGCAAAGGCGGTTTTGTTTCTAACCTTCCAGGTAGTTTACGTGCTTATGCTTCAAGTTTAGTTTTAGTGGCATAGATGATTTCACTCTCTCCAGTGATTCATTACATATGGCCATTTCAGTCTCTTTCTCTATTCTTCATGCTCAGACTTCAAAGTTCTTGAGACCTTCAAAGTTAGTCATCCATCTCAATTGTTGGTCCGGACGATTTAGTATTTTCTCATTTCTTCAACAATCAAAAACAAAATATTTTCTCCTTTCTGCTTTTAGAGAGATGAATTGATAACTGTAGCAACTCTATGTGCTCCCACCTTTCGGTTCGTATTCTTTTTGCTTCAAGAATATGGGGGGCACCAAAGAAGAGGGTTTCCAAGAAAATTGATCTTGTATTCAACGGGTGCAATTCTTGTGCACAAAATCTACTAAATTTTCTTTTCGTTCATTAGTATGCAATTGTATTCTATGATCTTGTATTCGCCGAGTGCAATTTTTGTGCACAAAATTTACCAAGTCAAATTTTCTTTTCATTGATTAGTATGCAGTTAGTTCTAGCTATATACTTGGTGAGTCAACCAGTATATTGCTTCACATAAGCTGATGGTTTGGAATTTTTGTAGGGGATGTACCTCGTGTTGATGGACAGCTTGCTGTTGCCAGGGCATTTGGAGACAAGAGTTTGAAGAGACATCTTAGTTCAGATCCAGATGTAGTAATCGAGTTGATAGATAACGACGTAGATTTGCTCATTTTGGCAAGTGATGGTCTATGGAAGGTGATCTGTTCTCTGAACTTAGAGCTAAAGTCGTGTTATACACCCCTCATTTACTTTCACCACATAGGATACTTCCATTGATTGAGTCCTTTGTTCAGGTGCACTTAAAGATATTACAGCCTTTAGTGCATCAGATGATCTTAAACTTTTGCATGTTGGGTTCTGAACAAAGATTCTGGCCTTTGTTGCTGATATTCGCTTGTTTTTATTCGTCTTCTCGAGCGGAGGGTCTTTCGAAAACGGCCTCTCTACCTCCCCAAGGTAGGGGTAAGGTCTGCGTACGCACTACCCTCCCCAGACCCCACTTGTGGGATTCCACTGGGTTTGTTGTTATTGTTGTTCTGAACAAAGATGCTAATATCTTGAGGAGGATGTTGTGTTCACTCTTGTTAGTAGTTATTGATATTTGCTTCACCTATTTGTAGGTAATGTCCAACCAAGAGGCAGTGGACTGTGTTAAGAACATGAAAGATGCGAAAGCAGCAGCTAAACATTTGGCAGAAGTAGCTATTTCAAGGAAAAGCAAGGATGATATTTCCTGCATAGTTGTAAAGTTTCAATGAAAGCGAGTCCTTTTGCAAGTAATTAAAACTGGGCTGTACAAATTTTTTGAAGTGATAATATACTTTCCTGCTGAATTGTGCTTTATTAAGTTGAAAATATTTCCAGTGAAACAAGATCAGTAGCATCCAAACATTTCCACTTGTATAAGAAATTGTTGACAATGTATTCATTGTTAAGTATTGTATATTCATTTTCTCAGATAAAGATGTTAGATCTCCTCTAAGCAGAGTCTGTATTTGTTTCTCAAAACTGTGTATGTTACATTGTTACCTAAATAATGAACGGTGCAAATAAGTACTTAGAAATACAGATGCTGAAGAGTTCCTCCCTCAACCACTTGGTTGTATCGGTTTGAGCCTCTATCGACTATTCGTTCGTGCAGCGAATACAATCAAGACAAAATACAGAAAAAATAGAATGCTCTCATTGAGAGTCGAACTCAAAACCTCCACTTACTAAGCAGGCGTTCTAATCAACTAAGCTAAACAAGCTTGTTGTTTTCTTATTTCAGTTCAAAACAATTGATCTCTTGTTTTTTATTTAGTACTACGGGTGGATTTACTATACAATTCAAATATAGTTACGAATGGTAAATACAATATATATGTTTGTTGTGTCGTAATTTTTCCTACTTCATACTATTTGTGGAGATTTGCATATATACCCAGTTTTTGGGTCACATTTTAACATATACCCGCTTTGCAAAAACAATTGCAAGCGCACCCACTTTTCGGGTAACTTCAGGCATACGAGCCTGAAGTAGCAAAAATTTATATCTGAAATTTGAACTTCAGAATTTTTTACCTGAAGTGTAGCTTTATCAAAGCAAAACTTCAGATATTTTTGCCTGAAGTTTGGCCTGACTTTCAAAGGCAATCAACCAAACTTCAGTTCATAGTGCAAGGGAAAACTTCAGTTTCTCCTCACTTCATAGTGCAAACTTCAGACAAATTAGTTTGAAATTCTTCAATTTGTAGTGTAAACTTCAGGAACTTCCGATCATAGTGCAAGGGCAAACTTCAGTTTCTCCTCACTTCATAGTGCAAATTTCAGACAAATTAGTCTGAAGTTCTTCAATTTATAGTGCAAACTTCAGGAACTTCAGTTCATAGTGTAAAGGTAAATTTCAGTTTTCCCTCACTTCATAATGCAAACTTCAGACAAATTAGTCTGAAGTTCTTCAATTTGTAGTGCAAGGGCAAACTTCAGTTTCCCCTCACTTCATAGTGCAAACTTCAGACAAATTAGTCTGAAGTTCTTCAATTTGTAGTGCAAGGGCAAACTTCAGTTTCCCCTCACTTCATAGTGCAAACTTCAGACAAATTAGTCTGAAGTTCTTCAATTTGTAGTGCAAGGGCAAACTTCAGTTTCCCCTCACTTCATAGTGCAAACTTCAGACAAATTAGTCTGAAGTTCTTCAATTTGTAATGCAAACTTCACGACAAATTAACTTTTCAGTGTAACTAAGTGCTTGTTTGGCATCATATCTGGCTTTACCTCATGAAAAATTCTTCATGTTCTTCATACTGGATTTGGAACTTCTGTATATTCAGTATGAGATAAACACATAACAAGATGAACTAGAGAGTATATGTTGCGCTCTCGATGCATTTGTATTTGTATTTCGAGCTTGCAAAATAAAGGATTGTAAAATTTGCAGAAGCCCAAGTTTTACCTTCTGTTGACAGGGTTTCTGAATTCAAATAGAGAACAATAACAATACTTTGTTTTGTTATTTTATGACAGTATTTGATCAAATGTAGGTTAAGTTGTTAATTTGACTTCACATTTTATTAGTAAATATATTAAAGTAGTGGTTGAAAAGTTAATTTGATAGATAAGAAAAGGAAGAAAGGAGCGCATAGGTCAGGAGGAGGAAGAGGGCAAAAACTTACCCGCACCGGGTATTTACACCAAGTCCAATTAAATTAACCACAGGAGATAAACTAAGGTCTTCTAGGACTTTTTATTTTGAATAAATAAGAAATTAAAAAAGCGCTAGTAGAATCATATAATAACTAATGTTACAAACTCTTAGGGTTACTGTCATCCTCTTTCTTTTATTTCCTTGCAATCATCCTCTGCATTCGTGCTGCATCTTGTGACTTGAATCTTATATAATTTTTTCTAAGTTTTAAAATATGTGTAGAAATTCATAGTCTTTCCTAACTTTTTCCTAACTTTTTCGAAGTTCTAAACTTTATTTCTTTGGCAAATACTTAGGAAGAATATTGTCTTCTTCTTCCATACATAGTTACACGAATAAACACAAAAACTGTAAAAACCATAACTTGAAAATTTTTAATCCTTGAAAATAGTCTTACCAATATTGACTAATTATTACTATACATAAAATACCATTTTATACTGTTAGGTCAGGATGGGACTCTAAGAAAGAAGGAAAATTTGGGCTTCACAGTTTTAGATTTCATATTTGCTCTCTCACAGTAATATTTTTTTTCCAGATTTACTTAACGATAGGAGCGTAACAGAATAGCTGACTAGATTACTAAGTATATTTAATTATAATTTTAGAATATGTACAAAAAATATATAAGTTAACTATGATTAAGCACTAATATATGTAGTTAGATTAAATAACAAGTGTCATTTTTTTATTGAGATGGCGTAAACACCCGATACGGGTAAGTTTTTATCGAAGAAGAGGAGGCGTCTGAAGTTGTTAAAATTAGGATATAGATTAAATAATTTTAAAAATATGGATATAGGTTAAATGGGGGCGGCCAAATAGGACGCCCCGTCCAATTTTTACACTATTTGTTTGTTGACCTGAGGGCATCATAGTGTTAACAAAATTGGGTCTTTTCCACTACATGCCATTCTGTTAACACTAATCCAAGCTCATGATTAAAGGGTTAATGACACAATTACCCATAAAAATAAAATTATTTATCATTATTTATTCATTTATTTTTTACCCATCAAACCAATTACATTTCCTACCCATGATAATTTTTGTGCGAAATTTTCTCTTTTTTCTCCAATTCTTTTTTATTTCAATGATTCTTTTCTTTTTTCCTTTTTTCTTTCTTTTCTCCTTTTCTTTCTTCTCGTTTTCTTTTTTTTTTCTTTTTTCTCTTTTATTTATATATTTTTGCCTAAATCGTATTATTGTTATTTTTACCATAACTTATTTCACACTCAATTTTGAATCCTTATTTATTTATTTTCTTTATTTCTTGTTCCTTTTCTAATTGCACGTGATTGCCATACAAACCGTGATCTCCTTCCCTACAAATATCAGTACACACTCTACCATTAGCAATAACACAACCAGTTATGGAGCAAAACATAATCTACAACAATCAAATCTCCATATATACTAGTTAGAATAGAAATGATAATAAAATATTGGAAAATGCAATAAAAGTATAAGTAGCAAAAAAGACTTCTAGTACCATATGATACCAATATGGTATACATGTATACCAACAGAGTATATGATTGCTCTAGAATATTGCTACAACTATCTGCGACTATACTACTGTACCAAAACATTAAAGAATGCAATAAGAGTATGGAAAATTACATGCTCGCATTGCAAGCTAAATATTCGCAAACCAACTTGCTCATTCCGTATACTAACATGGTATATAGTTGTATGTGGTCGTTCCAATAATTGCCTATAACTATATAAACTATTACATAATACACATAATCTATGTCCATCAGCACAAAAAAATCCCAGCACTGCAAATCATGTTCATATAAATAATTCAAGAATATAATTCACTTAAAATGCAGCTAAAACAACCAAAACAATATTCAAACTACCATATGATACCAATAAGGCATATAACTATACCAATATGGTATACGATTTTACTGGTTAATTTCTGGCAACTATATGACTATACTACTATTACATAACACACATGCATAAAGAGAAAAATAAAAAAATAGTGTACCGCATAATAATATAATAAAGTAATTCAATATATTGTACTATATTACTATTATTAAAAGAAAATCAAATAGTATACCAATTAAATATATTTAATACAACCAAAAAAGGATTCAACTAACATATGATACCAATATAGTATATAGCTATACTGATAGGGTATATAGTTGTACGGGGTCGTTCCAACAACTGTATATAACTATAAAAAACTATTACATAATACACAAAATCTATGTCCATAGGTACAAGAAAATCCAACACAGCAAAATATGATCATATAAATTATTTCAGAATAGAATTCACTTAAAAATGTAGGTAAAACAACCAAAAACTATTCCAACTACCACGTGATACCAATATGACATATAATTATACCAATAGGGTATACAGTTCTACTAATTAATTCCAGAAAACTATATATAACTACACTACTATTACATAATACACATGCATAAAGAGAAAAATTAAAAATAGTGTACCACATATTAATATAATAATATATTTCAAGATATTGTACTATAATACTATTATATAAAACAAACGCATAAAGAAAAAATCAAAATGATTACATAATACATATGCATAAAGGAAAATAATAAAAAAATCAAGATAATGTACTATTATACTATTACTAAAGAAAAATCATACAGTGTACCAATTAAATGTAGCTAATACAACCAAAAAAGGTTCCAACTAACATATGATACCAGTATAGTATATAGATATACCAAAAGGGTATACAGTTGTAATCTAAAAGTTTAAAAAAGGTTTTTTAATTCAATTATTAAACTGAATTAATATCAGTTGTCACATAATCTAATTAACTCAATTTTGTGCGTCATCGATTATACTAAAAGTTAGATATGTTATAATAATATACTATATACCATTTTAAAATGGAGAATAAATTAATAAAAAATATTAAATGGACAAGTAGATCCTATTATGAAATGAGAAAGATAGAAGAAAAACGTTTTATTTATATTTGAGAAGACAATAAAAGAGAAAATAGGTTGGGACAATTAATGGGGTTTCACGTGATCCGGGATTAGAAAGGAAATGATTTTGAAAATAGGTACTTGAAAAGAGTGAGTTGCTCTAGTGGTGAACACCCTCCACTTCCAACCAAGAGGTTGTGAGTTCGAGTCACCCCAAGAGCAAGGTGAGGAGTTCTTGGAGGGAGGAAGCCGATGGTCTATCGGAAATAGCCTCTCTACCCCAGGGTAAGGGTAAAGTCTGCATACAAACTATCCTCACATACCCCACTAGTGGGATTATGTCATACTTATTAACAAATTAAAGA